ATAGGCTTTGAACAATTATTATGGCTTTTATATGAACCGTTGCTCATAATAGGCTTTGAACAATTAGTATGGCTTTGTGTGAACCATTGCTCATAATACAATCAGTATAATTACTGTCTCTTATACACATCTAGATGTGTATAAGAGACAGAAATATTGCTTTCTGAACTTGTATCTGATTTATCCGATTCATCGTCTTCGAACTTTCTTTTTTCAGCTGCGTTACAACTTGAAATTGATTCACTATCGCTTTTTGTTTCTGATCCGCTTTCTGCTTCAGATTCATTAATTTTTTCAATATTTGCTTTTTCTCTTTTTTGATGTTTTTTAAAAGTTTTTCTAGTAGACAACCACTTTCCGTTACCATCTTTAGAATTTATTTTACAAATACGACAAGAACAAAGAAATGGCATTTTGAAACGTGATAGAATTTATGTAACGATCTATTTTTATAAACAATCACATAGTTTGTATTACATGATTGTATTAAATTTACGCATTAAAGTTAGAGGTTGTGTTACAAGATTGTGTATCGTTATTAGAGATGATATAATAATGACAATATTCGTAATAATTATACTGATTGTATTATGAGCAATGGTTCACACAAAGCCATACTAATTGTTCAAAGCCTATTATAAGCAACGGTTCATATAAAAGCTATAATAATTGTTCAAAGCCTATTATGAGCAACGGTTCATACAAAGCCATACTAATTGTATTAAGAGATTGTGTTATGAGCAACGCTCGTACTGATGACCGATAAATTGAATCATTATATTTTATGTATTATTATCAATGAAGTTAATTTAACCATGTTAATACTGACAAGAATGTAGTCCTAATACTTGTAATAATCTTTCATTAATAATTTCATAATATAATTTTCATGATATTTTTTTTCTTTATGTCACCAACACTACAGTGAAATGCAAAAGTTATATTTAAAGGTAACTCCCTCTCACCAATTGTTCGCAAGGCTCTCAATCAGTCAGAACCTAAAATAAAGTTATATCGGTTATTAGACATGTTTGATACTGGTCTCCTTAGTGTTCTCGAGTTGGACTTTGATGCATAAACGAGTCATAATATATTATTCACAGGGGTAATGAGTCAGTTTTTGGAGAGGCACTTTGTCAGACCATCAGGACAGAAAATCAGAAAATGGAGTCGAACAACTATAAATGGTATTTCGCGATCAATAAAAAATAAAAATAAATAACGCGTCAGTCACATCACGTTTAAGTATAAAGTATAAATACATGCTATCTTTAGTGATTCTTCATTTCTTTACGCATTTTTTTAAAAAAATTTAAAAAAAATGGAACAAACACCCGAAACTGAGGTATAATAGTAAAAATATAAAAATATTTTTAATAATCTATAATCAAAAATTCTTACTTTATTACTATATTATAGCTCAGGCCCATATATAAGCCTACGTCTAAATATAATTTACAAGATGCATTAGGATTAAAAAATGAAAAGCAACGCTGGCTTGCTTATTTGGTAACTATTTATTAATTTTTAATAAAAGATAAAAATTGTTTTTTAATAGTAAATTTTTGTAATAGGAGATAATGCGAGAATGTCTCTACGAAAAGAATGTAGATTTTACCACTGATTATAGGAGTCAAAAGCATACAATAACTGCACAAATAGTTCGTTCTGTAAATATTAAATTTTAATTTTCGTCATTTCTTTTTTTTTTTGAAGTATACTAAAAATTATTATATTATAGTTTAAAAAAAAGGCTCCTGACTTCCCTATAACTAGAGCTCCGCAACCTGACCTGACAGATCGGGTGACCCGACGGGTTGACCCGAAATATTCAGGTCAGGTCATCAAATTCATGACCTGACACGGGTCAGGTCAGTGCTGGTCAGTACCCGACCCGACCCGTTGACCTGACATATATTTGGGTCAAATAAATTAAATAACGCCGAAACTTATAATGATTCCGGCGTTTTTACATGTACAATCGAAAAAAACGCCGAAACTAGTATCAGTTTCAGCGTTTTTACATGTAAAATCAAAAAGAAGAACGCCAGAACTAATTATTCTGGCGTTTTTACATGTAAAATCGAAAAAAAAATGCCGAAACCATCAGTTTCGGCGTTTTTACATGTAAAATCAAATGAAAAACGCCGAAACCATCAGTTTCGGCGTTTTTACATGTAAAATCAAATGAAAAATGCCGAAACCATCAGTTTCAGCGTTTTTACATGTAAAATCAAAAGAAAAACGCCAGAATTAATGATTCCGGCGTTTTTACATGCAAAATCGAAAAAAAAACGCCGAAACTATCAGTTTCGGTGTTTTTACATGTAAAATCAAAAAGAAAAACGCCGGAACTAATTATTCCAGCGTTTTTACATGTAAATTCGAAAAAAATACCGAAACTATCAGTTTCAGCGTTTTTACATGTAAAATCAAAAAGAAAAATGCCGGAACAAATTATTCCGGCGCTTTTACATGTAAAATCGAAAAAAAACGCCGAAACTATCTGTTTCAGCGTTTTATATATAAAAACAAAAAGTAAAAAACGTTACAAAACGTTTTTTTACAATATTTAATAATAAAACTTCGGGTAACCCGAGTTACCTGAAGTGACCCGAATACTTTCGGGTCAAATGGGTCGGGTTGGGTCAGAACGGTTTACCCGACCTGACCTGACCTGAAAAAAAATTTCAGTTCGGGTTAACCAGGTAACCCGACCCGACCCGATCCGTGCGGAGCTCTACCTATAACCGCAGCCGATTGGGTTGTAAAGGAGATGCTTGTTAGTACTATACAAAATNCTAATTATTCTGGCGTTTTTATATGTAAAATCGAAAAAAAACGCCGAAACTATCTGTTTCGGCATTTTTACATGTAAAATCAAAAAGAAAAATGCCGGAACAAATTATTCCGGCGCTTTTACATGTAAAATCGAAAAAAAACGCCGAAACTATCTGTTTCAGCGTTTTATATATAAAAACAAAAAGTAAAAAACGTTACAAAACGTTTTTTTACAATATTTAATAATAAAACTTCGGGTAACCCGAGTTACCTGAAGTGACCCGAATACTTTCGGGTCAAATGGGTCGGGTTGGGTCAGAACGGTTTACCCGACCTGACCTGACCTGAAAAAAAATTTCAGTTCGGGTTAACCAGGTAACCCGACCCGACCCGATCCGTGCGGAGCTCTACCTATAACCGCAGCCGATTGGGTTGTAAAGGAGATGCTTGTTAGTACTATACAAAATAAACGTAAGTTAATAATAACTTTATTTATACCTAGTTGGTTTATAGTAGAAATTAATTATTTCATTTTATTTATAATAGGCTATTATCTGAAAAAAAAAAAAAATGAATTAGAAAATAATTTAAGAGTTCCACCACAAAATTCTCCAGCATTACAGGACCGTCCTCCACCATCTCCTCAAGCACAACAAGATCCTCCTTCTCCAGTTGAGCCTTCTGATGAACAAGTTCAGATTCGGCCTCCAGAACCACGTACTGATGAACAAGTTCAGGTCCGGCCTTCAGAACCACGTACTAATGAAAAAGTTCAAAGTAATCCTCCAAAAAGGGTCTGTAAACAACATGTAAGGGGAAGGCCAGAAATGACGTCATTTTATTTTCAGGATTTCGGACTCCCCCCCTCCCCAGTCATAAATCTATTTAAGGAAATTCGTGTAACTTGATCATGTGACCAATAAATTTTACTTGCGAACCGTAAAATTGATTTAATTTTATAATCAAATTTATTACTAACGATATATTAAACTCGGAACCATTAATTTATTAATAAATATTAGAGGCAAAAATAATAAAAATCAAATTTTCAAAAATTGTTTTATTTCAAAATTAATATGTAAAAATATAAAATCTTCAAACATTATGAAAAATTGACTTGAAACGTAAGATGATCTTGTTCCCAAGGTTGCGAACTCTTTGCTTTACCTTTTTCGCGTTTATTATCACCCCTATTACCTTTCGCAATTTTCTTTTCATTATCTATCTGACCAATAGATTGATCCGCACAATTTGTGTTGTAATTTCCTACTGGAGTCATAGGTTGCTCATCATCGTCTTGCCTACTCAAAGATTGCCTATCGCTTTTCTCTTGCACTCCATTCTCTCTTCTACCCGAAGATTGACCATCATTTTTTTCTTGCACTAATCGTACTTTTTTATTTGAATGCATATTATTCATATGTTTTTTTAAAAACGCTTTTGTTGGGAAATATTTTCCACACTTTTGACACACAAGTTCAAGATACAATTCGTGGGATATGCTTGGACAATGTTCATCATAACCAGAAAGCCGATCATTGAAATATTCCAACGTATGTAATAGATTAAGAAAGTGTTTATCTTGCCCTTGTACAATAGGAGGAAGAAATCCATTACTTAGTGATAAAAGTTCAAAGGCATCAGGAGCTCGTGGTGGTTTGCAACAACTCCTATCCTCACATTTGCGCAAATCAAGCGAGTATTTACAAACTTGCGAATGGCGATCAACCCAGTCCCATGTTCCCTCTTCAATATTCGAAAACATAGTATTATCATGCCTTTCAACATATGTAGCTACGACTGGTTGATCATTGATATAATCACGATTCCAAAGCTCACAAAGGCGTTCACCGGCATGTTTAAAGTTTTTTCGTCCGAGTTCTTCATCAATAACAGATGTTTGCCCATTCACATTGCCAATATGTTTTCCATAACTAAAGGCATCCAACACAATACCTGCTAACTTGCCAGATAATGATGCCATGCTTCTTTCTACGGGATTATATGCTGATTATCCTGGCGCATGTGTTCGCACGGTAAGGTAGTCTAGATCAAGTTTCTTAAAAATCAATGAATATTTCAAAATATTTGCAAGAAACCGAGGATTTTCATCTGGTCCGCCATCAGTTAATAAACACCAAATTGGTTTTACTGCTCCCTCATGATGTGTAAATTCGTGATAAGATTCATCCTTCGTAATTGACATTAAATCTATCATGTGTGTCTCACATGATGTACCCAAAAAATACTCCGGACGAATAAAAATTCGCATCTTGCCAGAATGTAAAGACTCGTTTGTATTACTGGGATTAATTAACAGATAGACAGATGGTATCAACTTATGCTTAGATGACGTTGGAAAATCGTGATCTGGGACAGATACAGGTTCGTTTGATGTCTGTATAGTCTTAAACGTTCTTCCAACTGCAGCAATACCTAATGGAACCTAATAATAATATATTAAAAACAATAAATTAAAAAAAAAAGAGTAAAAAAAGTAATTGACCTTAGCTTTATCGTCTTGTGAAATCAGGACAACATCTTGCGAAAAGGCCGAAGCGAATAATTTTACACCTTTTACTGAGTCGTCGGGCTGGATGTGGGTCTCGCTACCGCTCCACCCACCTCGGCC